GATTTGTTTTTAACATTTTAAAGTAAAATGCTTCAATCTGGTCCACCTTGAGCGCCCAATTACTAGAGACTGATCTAGGGGATACAACTCTAAAACACCCATATGAAAAAGATCGGTTTGCATTTTAATAATCAAGTTTGTATGTGAACATAACCAATAACCTACCATAGCCAATAACAAATAAATGTAGGCTAACTTGTTTTATTTTTGTGGTTCATTCATATCTTATTTTATCAGTTAACATTTATTTATTTATGCATATTTTTAAATCTCTCCAGTTTTAAAAAATTGTTTTGGTTTACTGTCCTATAGTATGCATTGGAATGATTTCAAACTTGTTTATCCCAATAATTATAAAGGAGTGCCTTGGAAATATTTGTTTACATAAATTGTGATCAAACGTTTGAGACCCACTGTGATAACTTAGACTAAAGTGAACTATCTAAACACTCAGAGTCCTTTACCTCACTGAGCCTCTCAGTCTGACAGGACAGAACACTCCCTCAACATTATTGTAGAAACAGCTTCTATCCGTTAGCGCAGCAGAAGCTAACAACAATCCCCGCCGGTACCGGTGCACCCCCTCTCTCTATCTATCTACCTATCTATCTATCTCTCTCTCTCACTTTGGCTATGAGCTGGGCGCCTGATAAGCCAACATTCCCCACTTTCATCACTTACAGCGCCCATCGTACAGGGCAAATGGAAAATGTAACCGGGGTGAAAAGGGTGTTATCTTTACTTAATTATGAATGTTGTTACATCAAGGCTGAAAATTAGTTTTTTTTTGTATTATATTTGCATTTAATCTTGTGGAAGTGCAGATCCCCTGTCCTCCACCAGGGGGTGCTGCAGCACCCTCAGCACCCCTACTTCCCACGGCCCTGCCCCAAGCTCAAGACACGCCAAGCGGCAACGCACGCCGCCGTGTGTAGGGGCCGTAAGCGCGCCACAGTGTCGCCGCTGTGAGGTTCGACTAGCACTCCCCCCAGTTTATCACAGTTTTATCGCTGAGAGAGTAGTCTTTTCTGAGATGGGATGCGGATCGCCTCGAAAGTAGATGAGGATAGCCGATTGCAGACGGGGGAGTTCTCAAAAAACTGTGGAAAGGAAACTCCACCACTTCTATGTCACTCCAAACTGGGAAAAAATCTCAAGTTTTTATCAAGGTTTTCCTATTTCCATTTAATTAGCCTTGTTTAAAAAGTGAAGATGAACAGTTTGAAGACTGTCTGTGAACCAGGCAGGGAGAAGGTTTTATTAAAGACCGTTGAGGAAATCCAGCATTTTTGGACCTCCTTTAAAGTAAAAAAAACTGAGGACACCTCTGCCTCTGATGCATTGATTTTGACCATTATTTTATCTTTCTTTAAGAATCTCTCCCCCAATTCCTCTAACTTTATGGGAATGCCATTCCAAATCCCTACAGCACCCGATTTAACAAGCTGGCCTTATCTTGTGTTACGCAACACAACTTAAGCAGCAGTGGAGGTGGTCAGCCTTTTGGGATCCTGTGTAAAAAACCCTGAGTGTGTCTGGAAAGATTCACTTTATCTGCCTTTTCATGATACACACACACACACACACACGCAGACACACACACACAAAGGCAACAGTGTGAGTGTAAGCAGTCCATCAGCGCTGTCCTGTGCCAGCTGCAGTGTGACATCTTTACTGCGTTTTCACACGCCTCCCAGAAAGAATCCTCACAATACCCTCACTGTACCCTTTTGCACCAAACACACACTTACATGTGCACGAGTCTACCCCACGTGCACACACAAGCAGGCAAACACTTACATGTGCCAGTCCACACACACACAAACACACTAACTGTAGGGTTCTGTGTAACGTGGCTCGGTCCCAGGACCTCTGACAGTGAGGGCTTCATATTCAGCTGATGTTGTTCCTGCAGGGAGCCAAGTCCATACAACTCTGACTCTGGCTGCTATACAGTGGAAGTGAAAGGAAACAAGAGCCATTTCTATTACAGACGAGTAGCAGAGACACATTTGAAGCATGTTTTGGATTTCTAAGAGCCCTGCTGAGGGAATTCAGACCTGAGTGTGTGTATGGATTTCATATACAGGTCATGGACAGCTGCACAGTTAAAGGGTCGGCCGTGGCAGTGACAGAAACAGGCCTCCGGGACCCGCTGGTCCTAACGGATCGAGTTCAGGCTCAGCTCGCATCCAGCTGTTCCTTTCTCTCACATGCTAGGAGGAAGAGGAGGGCAGAGAGAGGAGGGTGGAGGACAAGCAGAACATCTTAACTGCATTCAGCCAGTATGGAGTTAGTGTTCAGAGTGTGTGTTCAATCAGAAAGGTCTTGTCAGAATTGTGTTTCAAGTTACATCACACTCCACCAATATCATTATTACATGAATATGACGTCCTCCAAGTTCTACTTTATAAGGTAGCTAAATATTTGAATCTTATTGGAGCTAAAACTGCTGGTTATTAACTACATTTCTGAAAGAAATGGAAAAAAATTGAGGCCAACTGCAATTTAGTGACTGAATAAAACGATGTACATTTAGTTAGGCTACATAAATGAAGTACAGCACTTCAGAACATTTTATGTAACTGTAAACTTCTAGTTCACTACATGTTGGTGCTTGAGTCAGATAAGAGATTAGTCAATGGACAGAAAATATATCGCCAACTGTTTTGACATTAATTGAAGAAAAAAAATGTTGTTATCAGTCTTTAAAATATAGAGATGTCCTCTTTTTCTGTGTTTTATATCATATTAAAGTGAATATCTTAGGGCTTTGGACCAACAAAAAATTTAAATACATCAACTTGGACTTGGAGAAACTGGGATGCATATTTAAAAAGTTGTCTTGCTTTATGTAGACCAAACTATTACAAGAGAAAATAATCTACGGATTAAACATTAAACACCTAGACATTGACGCATCACTCATAATTCATTCTGCATGCTAAATGCTTTTACTTTAACTATAATGTTGATGCTAATACTTATGTATCCTACTTTTACTTTAGTAGCAATTTTCAAGGATATGATAACTTTCCACCACTGCTGTAATTCAGAGCCTATCCTGAAACGTGTTGTTCTGTGCATCTGAAAACACTGGAGTTAAACCGTATGACACACATAAAATCTAAATTACAATTTACAACGTTAAATTATTCGGAAAACAGTTGATGAAAGCTCTTGAAAGGGCTGTGCAGAGACCATAATTTGTGTGATGCATTAGCATGTATTGAAGCTAGTTTGTGTAAAGTTCAAAGACCTGTCACACACAGTAAATCTGAGCTCTTTGCAGCCTGCAACTGTTGTAATTCAATTGTGTTGCTATTTATTTCATCTACACAACAGCTATTGTTTTAGTGTTCAACTAAAGACAAAACATATTTTTCAACTCTACACAGACAGTATTTGTGCGGACTTACTGGCAGCGGAGTGGATGGTGACAGCTCACCTCAGCTGTCAAAAGATAAACTCCATACTTTTCCCTCTCAAATGTTGTGGTGCTGCTCAATGTTTTAGTTTCCAGCTGTCCCAAACTAATACCAAGGAGTCACGAAACCAATGTTAAGCTAGTTAACGTAGCAAAACTCTTGAGTTGTTCAATTAATCCTCACGACGTCTCTCCGTCCGTCCGCCTGAAATGAGGGCAGCATCTCAGAGTGGAGCAGCTCGCTCGGCCACAGGAAACGAGACAATAGCACCTCGGCTGGGCTAAGGAAATAGAGAGTTCTATGTATTATGAAGTATGTTACTATAACAAAAAAAATGGAGAAGGTGTACCTGTAAATGTATTATCACATACCCAGTAACATCGGTTTAATACATAAAAAGTTTACTTGTCCGTTGAGAAATTTTTAATCTTGCTAATACTCGTTATAGTATAAGTTCACTGCTTTGTTTTCCTTTCAAGACCTTATAGCTTGGTGTAGGTAATTCCTTTGCACCGAAACAATAGTTGTTACCACAGTACTGCAGAAGTTTGTGGTCGGGAAGTTGTGGTTGTTGGAGGGACTCCACTTTTCTTAGACCACCACACATTGTAGACACACGTACAATTTAACACACACACACACACACAACACACACAACACACACACACACACACACACAAACACCACACACACACACACACACACACACCAGACACACACACCACACACACACACACACACCACTACACACACACACACAGACCGGTCGACACGTCGCTACAGACAGGAGGACGACGATAACACATGTGTGGTGGTGTGTGGTGTGTGTGTGTGTGTGTGTGTGTGTGTGTGTGTGTGTGTGGTGGTGTGTGTGTGTGTGTGTGTGTGTGTGTGTTGTGTGTGTGTGTGTGGCTGCGTGTGTGTGTGTGTGTGTGGTTGTCAGGGTACGGTCGACCGGTGTTACCCTTTTGACCGGTTGTGGGCGGGACTGTGGACCGATTTTTATTAGGAAACCCTCGAGTCTGTATTTCTAACATAACATTGTTACCACACCCAGTCCTGAACATAGCCGGTTTATAGAACACGACAACAAGGACTCCGGCTGTGATGTGGTTCCAATTGTTTGGACAAAAATCTGGCTTTCGTTCCCCGTTAAAAACGTACTAAAACCGTTTTTTGTTCATACAATAGTATAGTTGATTACAGGTTAAATTGTTTATTTCATAACGTAAATATCCCCCAAACATTAGAAATTGTCGTATGTGATGAGAGAAATGAAAAGGTTGGTACGAAATCCTACCCTTTTGGGGGGGTCTTTTCGGAAATTGTCCCTCCTCGTTGTCGTCTTTGGAGCCCTTCAGTGTACAGTTCCCTATTGGACCAGGGACTCCTGGTGTATCTGAGCGTAAACCTATACACCACATGGTTATTCAGTTGTGTTATGTTAATGTTTCACTCTGAACAGGTTGTTTGTTGAATTAGATTAAAATTTTCTGAAGTTACACAGTTTACACAAACTTGTTGAAGTTCCAACTTGTCTTCATGGTCTAGGGATATTATATGACGTAAGTAAAGTAGAGTTTAAGCCTTGGCCAAAGTAAAACCAGTCAACAAAGTCTTTTTTCCTATTGTTACATTTTGTGGGGTGCAAATCACATTCATGGCACTTAAACCACGTCTAAATGGGCGCACTTACTGTGTCGTCTTTCACGGACAATAGTGCTGACATAACCAATAGTTGTAATTGAACACTACCACTTACGACTCCAAAACATAATATTTTTATTTTCAAAACTACTAAACTCGAGGTCAACTGACAACTATAAGGACACAGGGGGAGGAGGAGAGAGTGTGGATATAGAAGGGAGGAACAGGCATTAGGATAGGTGGGGGTGG